TTCCTTTGGTATCTCAGTTTTTAGCATGGACTAATAACTGGTATCCTCAGGTCGAGGAAATGTTTTACCGTATCTTATTGCAGCATCTGTCCAAATGTTGCTCAATGCCCACCAAAAAGACAATTGCTGTTATACATAAAAATATATACATTATATTGTATATTTTACACTAAACATGAAAAGATGAAGCTCTGTGTACTGTAAATATTCCATGATTGTTTGCTGTGACTGGTCTTCATGGCTGAATAACAAAATAAGTGAATGGTTTTACATATTTAGATGTAGATGTTCTGTTTCTCTGCTCTTCTCAGACCTGTGTGTGACCCCTTTCATAATGGGAACCTTTCTATAAGGATTTTGGATGTCATGGATGTTTCTCCTCCTGCTGATGAAGGAAGAGGGCAGCTCACAGTGCTGCCATCAGCAGAGCTGCTTTGAGCTCAGAGAGCTTCATGGACTGAGTTAGGATGCACATTACTTCGTGTTTTTATAGTAAATGAGGTCTTTCAGATGGCCCCATTGTACTTACTGGAAGCAAGTCTGATTTCCTAACAGTACAAAGTAGTTAAACCAAACATGGATTTGCATAGATGAGACAACAAAGCAAAAAGATACCGTGAGCAAAGAGCTTTCTCCCTATTATAGTGAACAAAGCTATAACAAAGAGTGAGAGCCATTCAGTACAAAACTGATGACATTCAGGCTGCTTCCAGTGCAACACAAACTAAAGCATGAAGTAAATCTTATGTGTATCCAGTTTATATTTGCATTATGGGAAGGTAGTGACTGATACACATTTTTTACTCTTAGATTTTACATACAACACACCATAGTGTAACTTTATAGAGGCTTTCCTGCATAAGTGGTTGAATATCTGCTGTTTGACATGTGAACTCAGGAACCTTACATCACAGTTTTTAGTAACTCGGTGGAAACTGGGTCTTGTTATTTTCCAGATCCTCCTAATCTGGAACACAATATATGTATTATTGTAAGGAGGAGAATTCTAATCAGTCCTTTAACAGGTAGCTGGGATCTAGCAGGAGGACATTAAATCACACAGCTGCATCTGAACGTCACAGAATGAGGCTCTGGAGTTACTGAGCATGTGTCTGTGCAGTGGAAGCTGAGGGACCCTCCTGCTGCTGCCCAGCCACGCTCTGCTAACAGGGACAATGTGTTAACACTTCAGAGGAGGCTCAATGCTTCACCAGAATGTTCAGAAATGGGAAGTGAACCATCAGTAACTCAACATGTTGCCTCCATAGGCCTTCCTGACCCCCGTCTGTGAAGGCAGCAGACATTGTTTCCTCAGACTCTTCATCCTAGAGAGAAGTTTGAAGCAGAGCTATGTCACAGCTATTGATGGAAGAAAATAAGCAATTTTGATTATTATCAAGGAAACCCTGTTGCTCTTTCTTTTAAAAACATATTTAAACTCTCTGATAATTCAAATAAAACAGCTATTTTTTTCCCCCTGCTTCAAAGTTTGTAAGGAGAACAGATCTGTTTCTTACAGTGAAGCTCACCAAGAGGTTAATCTTTGGTAGGACAGTTGAGATTTTTACAAAAGCTGTATTCTTTTA